ATTGGAATTTCAGGTAAGATAAGCTTTCTAATTCAAAATTGGTCATTTTCAAGACGAAATTCTTCAAATTTGAGATAAAAACATTTATTTTATGCCCTAGAGTAGATACAAACATTTATTTTATGCCCTAGAGTAGATAAAAACTATTTGTTTTTATCTACTCTAGGGCATAAAATTTTTATTTTATGCCCTAGAGTAGATACAAACATTTATTTTATGCCCTAGAGTAGATAAAAACTTTTATTTTATGCCCTAGAGTAAATACAAACATTTATTTTATGCCCTAGAGTAGATAAAAACATTTATTTTATGCCCTAGAGTAGATAAAAATATTTATGACTAAATTATATTATTTATATGAGAGATAAAAAACGACAAATTTCTATTGTAGGAATGAAAAGATTCATAACCAATATAAGCAAGTTTATAAATATTTTAACTTCGTGGCTGTTTTTCAACTTACTAACTTACTTGTTTTGTTTTGTTTGTAATTAAGCACAAAGCTACACAATGGGCTATCTGTGCTCTGCCCACCTCGGGTATCCAAACCCGGATTCTAGCGTTGTAAGTCCGCAGACATACCGCTGTGCCACTGGGGGGGGGGGGGGGGCACAAAGTAGAGAGATACATCCGTATCAATTTTTTCTTTTTATATTTTTAGTGTCTCAGACATTGAGTTAATTGTTTCTATGTTAGTGACATTTAGTTAGCATCAAATAGTCACGTTTGCGCCTCACAAAAGTACAGAAAACATCTTTGTTTTGAATGCTACGAAAATATTAATCTCCCCCGCAACATGATTCTACGTCATGCTCCTCTAATAACATTGGGTTAATTTATTTTTGAGAGAATCGTGTTCGAGATTAGTTCTTTCTTTCGTTGCTGTATTTTGAGGACCTCTTGTTTCACCCACTAGTTTTATGTGACGCGAGACACGCACTTATTATTGAGTCTTTAATATTTGTTTCAATTGTTTGTCTAAACATCTTAATTGTGGCTCAATTAGTTTGATTCAACTACATGAATATTCATTTTAATAAGACGTTGTTTAAATTTGCTATGTCACTTCATGATGACGAGAAATCCACTAGAAGTAAATATATACATAGTAGTGACACAGGTCCCCATCTAGCGGCTTATTTTGTAAACAACAATTTTCGGTAGCTTCCAGAAGGTTACTCTTTACTTAGGCCTAATGTCGAAACTAAACATGCAATATTTACATATACAATAGGCTTAGAGTACGGTTTTACTTTATAAAATATTTCTGAAAAAGCTCTGTTAGCGTCTTACACTGCTAGAAAGAACACGTGTATTGTTGGTTACCAATAGCAACAACGAACTTTCCTGCTTGGAAGAAATAGCATTAATTAAGATTAATAATAATAATATATATATGCGTATCGTTATCTATAACAAAGAATGTTATTTACTGGTGAGATTAGAGTCTGTGTGCAGGAAAATAATTTAATAATACGAGTTACTCGCCTGTTTGGTTGCAATTAAGCACAACATTACATAATGGGCTATCTATGCTCTGTACATCTCAGGTATCGAAACCCGGTTTATAGCGTTGTAAGTCCGCAGACATACCCCTTCGAGTTACGCGGCCCCACGATTTTCACATCTAATCTTGAGTTATTTTTTTAAACTAACTACTATGTGTCGATAATAAACAACACCTTTAATCCAGTTATTAAAATGCTTTTATTTGACGGATCCAGAACGCTTATGACAGTTCGTAAATCTCTTTAATTTAAGTTGTACATAATTCCAATAGGGACTAAGTGTTTTAGTCGGGAAGTATTATCAAAACTTAAACAGTTCGCGCTATATCATAAGCGAAGATGTCGGAATGCCAGTTCAAAAAAATTAGAGAGTCGTAGCGACATTTAGAACCCTTTTAATTACATATTATTATTATTTGCATTTAAGAAAGTGATATATAATTTTTATATGGCATTATGATTATGATTTATTTATTGTTATTTTAACACAATATTATAATTACTACTAAAAGGTGTGTATCGTTTGGCAAGCCGTGAAACTAAAACTCCAGACGATATTCTTCAAACCTACTACTAAAGCGCCATCTGTTGAGATTAGTTATACTTTCTAATCTTCGATTACGTTTGAAAATTTCTTTAAATCTATAACATCGGTTCCCAACCTTTTCACCACCAAGGACCCCCCGATTATTATTATTTTTCCCCCCACGGACCCCGTGTTTTTAGAGAGATTCCATCTACCCAACAAACTGTTTTTCTTACTAATAATTAAGTTGTTTTTCCATCTTTCACTATCAAATAAAAGACATATATAACTGAGCGTGCAATTAAAAGAACAGCAGAATTAAAAAACTTACTTGTTTAATGAGATGATATTATCTTCGCGGATCCCCAGGGGTCCGGGGAACCACAGGTTGGGAACCACTGATCTATAATGATACGTTTTGATTTTTACCTTCAAATTTATCTCTACAAAAGAAAATTAAAAAAATTTACAGGCAAAATAAAACTTTTACAAGCGTCATAAATAAGTATAATATAAATCACCCTGGCGGATTACATTTAAAAATGGCGCTTCATTATATAAGGCCTATTCGTTATGTTGGGTATGTGATTGAATACACCAGACGATGTAACTTTTCTAACGAAGAGAAGTATCGATAGTAGAGCATTCAACTATATACGCAAGTTGGCTAAACGGACAGATTAGATACCCCTAGGGATTAGGCTTAGCTGTCTTTAATTTTGAACTATAGACGAGATGGAAGGTAGCCAGATTGGAGCACCCACCGCATGACAAACATTTTCATTTTGAATCAACACGAAATAATATAATATGCTGCTATATTCTATAATCCTAATGAAAAACGTCCATCACGGAGTTGAACTCGTTAATTATGACGTACATAGAGCTAAAGAAAAAAATAATAATTCATAGATAATACAGGCCTACGAATTTAATCTTCATAAAAGTTGTTTTGGTTTTAATAACGGATTTTCCATAATTCAGCCACAAAGATTTTTAAAATAATATAATTTTTTTTTCTATCACGTAAGGATTTCTTTTACAAATCAGGAAGAAATAAACTCTTACTTAGATCAAATTATTATTTTGTTTACCACAATGAACATTTTTTTATTATTATGTTTGTT